TCACAGAATCAATAAAAGTGACTAACATATGAGTAACAGAAAAAGAAACCATGTAAATCGGTTCACTGCTTACTTTCTTATCAGACTCGATCTCTAAAGAATCAATTTTGATCAAATTACGTATGTCACAACATCATCACTTTCGTTTAGTAAATCTGATTACCAAGCAATACTTGTTATTGAAGTAGGTAGAGTGATTAGGTGTCTATTTTCTTGAGCATGTCCAATAGTTGTGGAAATTAACTTAAGGTTGATTAAAAATTCTCTACTGTACTTAGTTCGATTTAAAATTTCATTTTAACTTTAGTGTGTTTAATGTTTGCTTAAGTACTAGCTTCTAAATTTTTAAGATTGTATTTCGACGTATAATACTGTAATACAGCAAAGAATAATAAAAAAAAAACACAAAGAGCCTTTAAAAACTAAAATTAAATAGGAAATCATAAGTTTATACCTTGGTCTTTATTATTTGACAAATGATTATGTTCCACATTGATTGTATTTTCAATTTGATGTTTATTATAAATTCAGCTATATCAGCACAAGAAAAAAAGAAGTGTTGACGCAAAAAGTTTGTTTCCATGAATAATAAACACACAGGACATTTTATACCAATTGAAACTTTTTTGACATAATAATTATGATTCCTGTACTTTATTTAAAATATTTTCCACTAACGCTAGTTAAAATTTAATTCTCAACACATTTCGTCCCATTAATTAAGGCGAATGAAGCGTCATAATTAAATATTAAATTTGTCATGTTATTTAGCTATTTTGTCAAATATTAACCGGTTCATTGACAGACGATAATTGACCAGTAACCGAGCCGAGCGTAATTGACCAGTAACCGAGCCGAGCGTAATTGACTAAACCCACCACTAATCCTATAGCATATGCAGATTTCAAATAATGTTTTTAAAATTTTATTTAGGGGTGTTTAATGATTAATAATTTATGATTTTGCAGTGCAATTGGTTGCATAATATTTTTCGAAGTAAAATAATAATATTGACCGAATGTTTAACGAGAATATGTTGATTGGTATATTATATTCAAAAGATTTAAATCAGAATAAAGTAATATCTAACTTGCAACAAATTACATTTGAATATTTGATTAGGCTTTGCTAACCTTTGGAAAACAGATCAACAAGCTGCCTCATTATTTGCTATAATATAGAATTATCGACATTATATAATGATAGTTTGATTTTTTTGATATTTTGAGCACTATATACGTAATAATTTGTTAAAATATTACGAAAAAACTTTACAATCTATAACATCAATATTGTGTATACGATACTTACGTACAGACGCCTCCAAAAGTTTAACATTGTAACACAAAAATAATTGATAAAATATTAATGAATACAACTGACTCTTGTTAAAAAAAAGTCACCGATCCAGCCAAAATTTTATATTGAGTTTTTTTTTAAAATTTTTAATTGTGACTTGTAAAAACTTTCGCATATACCAAGAGTTCTTTCATCGAAGGTTTCCTATATCGAGATTCCGATATTGAGAGTTACTTTCGTTTCATATACATAATTAACATAAATTTGTGTTGTTTTTCGTGTTACCGTGTTAAATTTTGGAGGCGAATGAACGCAACATAAATTCTTTTATCTGAGTTAATGTCCCATAATTTGCTTAGATGCACATGAATGACATAACTCTAATAAAAGAATTTTCCATTTTTTTTCATTGTCTACCCAAAAAACCCAATAAACTTGTAACCTGTCGGCACGTGGTTAGTTCAGTAAATTATGTACGTAAATATATGGATCACTTTCAGAACAAAAATAAAATCTATCCTCAACATTTATTTGGCTTTATAAAGTTCGGAATTAAAATTAAAACGATTAACGTATATTTACCACTGCTTACACTACTTATATGATGTTAGTCTTATACCAATTTCGATTTTAATTATAAAATCAAAGATTTGCCCAATTATTTTAGCTCCTTTAGTGAAAACCGGATTATTTACTCATTTTGTAACGGTGATTATTATTATTAGATTTTTATGTTCTAATATATAAATATATATACCGAACATCTAACAATTAAGTAAAGACATCAAAGGTTGTTTAAAATTAAGCAATAATAATGATTACATTATATATATTTATATATATATATAGTTGATAAAACGAACCAATTATTCTACTTAATTAAATGTTAAATGGCTATAAAAATTTTACACGAATGCTTCAAATTTATAATATAATTTCCGTCATTTGAAGATCAATCCGCACTTCTGAAATCTGTGCTAGGTTATACCGATCACCGAATCAAAGAACATTAAGCACAGATTTGAATTTACATTATATTTGATATTTAGGTGTACTCATATAGCTAAAATTTCGTGCTGAAAACTTTTGTTTAGAAGTCAAACTACGGTTATTATAGTAAAATCTTGAGTTATTTATGATTTTTTATTTTCTCAATGAGAAAACAGAAAAATCGTAAATAACTAAGATTTTACTATTATAGCCGTAGTTTGACTTCTAAACAAAAGTTTTCAGCACGAAATTTTAGTTATATGAGTATACCTAAATATCAAATATAATGTAAATTCAAATCTGTGCTTAATGCTTTTCGATTCGGTGATCGACATAACCTGGCACAGATTTCAGAAGTGCGATAAATTCCATCAATGTCACATTATGGACATGTAAAAATTAAAACACTGATTTTTAATGAAAATACAGTTATGAATTCGAAATTCGTCGCAAATCAAATTTAATATTAAAAATTAATCGGACTAATCCTATCTGTCAGTTAAAATAAGTGCAATTTATTAATGAAATTCCTTTCTTTGTGTGTAACTGAATCATGCGTACAAGCCATCACCAATTTTACTTTATTGTGATATAGGCCTTGCATAGTCTAAAACAAACTTCCTGATAACATTTTATAAATAATGATCGGATTATCCTACTAAAGAACATTTAAATAATTATCGGGTTATCCCTTGAAAGAAGTATTTTATATCCCTAATGCGAGTAAATTTTATCTCCTAGTTACGCATACTTCGGCGATTAATTACTTATTTTGAAAATAAGAAGCGGTACAAAATATCCTATTTCTGTTTTGCATTTTAAAAGCAGAAAATGAAATAGGAGTTATCCTGAGATAAAATTAGTAACCTTTTTTTTTGATAATGTATTGTTATCAAATGATAAATTAATAAAAACTATATATAAATTATCGTTTAAATTTTTTTAAAAATTTCTTAAATAATATTACACAATTATTTTCGGATTGCTGTATTAATATTTAATGGAATAATATGCCTCCCAAAAACTTTTAAAAAACCACTAAAGAAAAGAACTTGGAAAAAATCATAAGATATCGATCTAATTCAATTGTTTGCGATAGTTCCAGAGTTCATCGATTTCTTTTTTGAGAATATTAATTGTATATTGAATATTCCTTTATTAATATTTCTAAAATACTATTCACGATATCATAAAAGTATTGATTATTATTGTATTATATAATAAGCTTACAAATCGAAATAAATAAGATTTATGAATCATTGATTTCAGAAACCTGAAACTTAGAATAACCTTATTAGAGGTCAGAATCAGTTAATATAATTCGACTTTAAATTCGGGTTAAACCGGTTTTGATAGTAAATCGGGTTGATAGTAACCGGGTTTATTTTTATTTTAACCAATCAGATGATTCAATAAAGCAAAAAATATGATGTATACACAACTGGTTCAATTCGGTTTGCATGTAAATCCAATTCGGTTATTGAATTTACAACCGGTTTCGATCTCTACACCACTGTAATCTCACCCACTCGAATCAGAAGTTTATCACTGCAAATCAAAAGCTTATCGAACCGGCAGATATTCTGTCGGTCAGTTTTTACCTGATTCTCCAGAATTTATGAAAACACCTGTAACTGGTCCAAAAGACCGATCCAAACCACGATTTTTACAGGGCCGTAAGATTCATAACGAGGGTTTCTTACTGTAAGATAGCCACAAATTTTTTAAACTACTATATACTAATATTATGGTAGCATTATTTAAGTGGTTCATTGGTATAATTACAATTATGGCACAAAATCATCATTTCTTGACAGATGAGATGAATTGATAAAGCTAATTTAGAAATTTAAATTGCGCAATAGATTTTCGTATATATATGTGCATACGTTAGTAGTTTTTGTCATACTCTATCTAGCAAACTATTCATTGACACTAGAAAGATTATCGGGCTTGACTATCATATTTGCCAGAAAAGAGAATCATTATCTATATTTATGCCTTCATTACATTTTTAGCAATAACAACTTTGAGTGTAAACAAAAACAAAATATTAAGACTTGTACTAAGCAAAAAGCTTCAAGTAATATGGAATCAGACATAAATAAGCCCCATGAAATGCGTTAAAACTCTAGAGATTAATTATTCAATATGAGTATTCTCACATTATTATTCGCTTGGTCGTGAATGTTCAATCTTATATAATTCAACGACAGGCATCTATTTCTGAAGGATGCGCAAGGATTCATAATGAATTTATTACAACGCAGACAATTAATTTTAATTAAGTCGACGTCAAAGATTGTTTCTGTTTGATAAAGATACTACTTCTAAGGTATTTATATCTATGCGCTTATAATTCGTAAAACAGTGTTTGTAATTTAAATAAATTTATATGTAATATATTTTATTAAAAATCAGTGGATTTTATGTATTTTTGGATAAAGCAAAAGAGCCTCCAAAGTCTGGATTTGACTTTAGACCAATGAATTTAATAGCGAATTAGAACCTTTTCGAAATAAATCTTATAAAACTTTATATTGGTTTACAGTAATTATTTCAATATTATTTTACATCTTTTCTTTATTCTATTTCGAAATAATAATCTTATTATATAATAAAGCGTTGTCCAACATCTCTTTTATGATTTAAAAGATGCGCACACGATGTTTAGCTCAAATTGTTTCACAACATTTATTTTTTATACGGATATGTCATTTTATTTCGTTATAAACAATGGAGAGCAGGTAACTTACGTTTATGATTTTTTTAAATCTTACTTAATAATGCTTTTAACGCTAGTTTTCTTTTTAGAAAATAAAAGGTTTATATGACACAATTGTGAAGTAATTCTTATTGATGGTCAACAAGCATTCAAAGTGATTTCTGAATATGCCAAAAATTTAATTTATTACTCAAGAGATCCTGGTGTACGATTTAATATAGCACTTGATTTTAATTATAAAGGGACATCTTTTGCTGCACGAGTTGAAGCACCAGATAAACCAGATATCACTTACATACTTAAATGCAATAATACTAATGAATTTAATGTTAAAAGAAACTGGAATGCTATTACTAGCCGTAAACTTTTAAATAAGTTTAATGGTTCAAAATCTTATTTTGATAATATTTGCAATCCTATAGAAGGAAGAAATCAACCTGTATCTTTTAATTCTAAATTTTAAGAAGTTACAAAATTATTTGATGGCATTAATCATGTATTAGTAGAATAAGGATATATTTACAGCAAATTGGTTGGGTGGAATTTCTATGATTTCAAATGAAGGTTATAAATGGACACAATCATGTTCGCAATCATATAAAGTAACACTCAAAACTCTAACTGATTCACAGGATCCTTTATTTATTTTAAGTGAAGTATGTTGATAGTTTCATCAATTTTTTATTACAAATAAAACTATGAATTCATAGATTTGTTTAATAAACTTAATATTTATATTATATGTTTAAAGTATTAATTCAAAAATAATATGCAATTAGGAAATGACAAACTTAAAGTATATGGAATAACTCAAAATTCATATACTAATAGGTATATGCTTGTATTTGAAGAATTTAGTCTCAAAAGATGCTGAGAGCATGGAATTTGTAAATATTGCAACAAATATAATACTTCTTCTGCCTGGTGTCAAATAGTAATTCAAGGATGGACGAGTGGAAATGAAAATATTGATAATTGTATTAAAAATTTTCAACTTAAAGGGTCAAGATACAATGAATTTATAGAGTGGATTCCTTATGATGATTTGAATGTCAATAAAGTAATTGGTTAAGGAGGATTTGGTGTAGTGTATTCAGCAATATGCAAAAAAGAAAAAGATATATTTCGTATGATCATGTCGTTATACATACACAGAAATGTATGCCACCATATATTGTTGCACTTAAGAAATTACCAGTTTCCCAAAAGAATTTTTTAAAAGAGGTACATAAATTAAATCGGTTTCCTAATTTAATTTAAATTATTTATTAATATGATAATTTATTTATTTTTAAAAGTTAGAAAGTCTCATGCAAACTAGATTTGCTGGTAACAAGCTTGAAGTATATGAGTTAACTCAACATAATAGTACTAAAGAATACATGATTGTATTTCAATATGCAAATGGTGGCAATATCTGCAAATTTTTAGAAAAAAAATTTACAAAACTTACATGGGAAAACACTCGTGGAGATTAATACAAATACAAACGGGTATATTTATCGAGACCTTCATAATGGTAATATATTGATAAGGAATATGCTAATGGGCTTCTAGAAATGTTTATTGCAGATTTGGGATTGTCTAGAATTAAAGAAGAATCAATTGAAGAAAAAGAAATTCATGATGTATTACCTTATATTGCGCCAGAAGTGTTTTGTGAACATTTATATACTGTGAATATGGACATTTATAGCTTTGGATTTATTATGGCCGAAATGTCTATAGGAAAACATCCTTATTATGATTTTGAAAATAATTTAGTTTTAGCTCTTGAAATATGTAACGGTTTATGTCCAAAGTTTGCTAAAAGTATGTCCAATTAGCAAACCGATGTATAGACATAAATCCTTCTAACAGACCAAATACAATCGATGTATATAAAGAATTGGAAAGTTGGAGTATAAATTTAACAATATTTCAACAAATTTACAAAATGATATTCATTCCAAGGATAAAAGCCAATTATATAATTTTCCATCTCTTGTTAATGGTAGGTAATTATGTATATTCGATTTGAGGTTTTTTCAAATATTTTTTTAATTTGATTTTTAATATTATTTGCATTTTTAATATCAATAGTTATCGTGCAAACTCTTATGATCATTGATTTTTTTCTTCTTGTTTTTTTGTATGTTATTACATAAGCACAACAATCTCGAATTAAACCTCAGTTAGCTAAAAATGACTTGAAAATCATGATCATAATTGCACGATAACATCGATATTGGATCATGCGATGATAAATATCATAAAATTTGTTCTGTCAGAGCAAATGATTGGCTGAAATGTGCCGCTGCGCGGCACATGTCAGCCAGCCAGCCATTTGCTCTGACAAACCAAATTTCGTGATATTAATCGTTGCATGACCAATATCTTATACATATAGGTACAAAGAACTTGAAATTTAATCTAAAGTCAACTATTTAAAAATTTTGATTTTGGTATATTATTATTAGTGATTGGACCTGTTCGAAAAAACATTATCCGGGTCAACTGGATGATCGATGGATGTACCTATATAGACCGATCGAAATATTGTACAATTCCGAAAATAAGCACCCTTTTTTTGCATGTAATGCTGGCCAATATTATCATAATGCAAACTAAAATTGATATAGTGCTGGCCAGGCTTTAGCATGACCACCAAAATCAGTATGTAATTGCCATTCAAAATCGCATGTGTGCCATGGTAGCACATTAATCAGCCAAGTCATTTTTATCAAATAAAAATTTTAATCGAGTCCTTTATATTTTCAAAAAAGCATATTTTTCTCTTTCTTCAAACCTTTAGCCTTTAATACAGATAAATATTCGTATTATTTCTAGAGATGTGCGAATGCAAGTTTTTTTGGCTTTGCATCACATAATGCAGCATTATGTCATATGCATTATGCAATTCTGAATAATATATTATGGCCCCCTCAAAAAACAATATTTAGTAAACAAACTTTGTATTATTACTGAGAGGTTATTGGATTTGAAAATATAAAATATTAGATTTATATAGTGAAAACAGATTTGGA